TGACCCCATCTTATCAACAGAGTGATTAAGAGTTGTTTTGCAGAAGAAGTGAGCCAAAGAGTTTGCAAGTCACATAGCCAGACCACGCACAGAGGAGAAAATCTTGACCTGAAATGATACCAGAACCAAAGATTCTCCCTCTCTACGGAACCAAAGGACCAGGACACGACCGGAACTTGAAAGTCGGACTCTTATCAGAAGCGAGGGTCCACTGTCTGGGAATATCCGATGTTAACGCCCCTTCCACACTTTACCATAAATGCTTAAAGGCCTCCAGTCGACATCTGCCTCGCCAGCGTTTCCACCCACCAGCCTATTCTCCCAACCTCTTGAATTTCACCCCAAACCCTGAGCTGGGAGACAGATCTGAGAGCTTTGCCTTCTGTCTCCTTGCTGGTCAACCTCGAAATAAAGCCTTTTCTTTTCTCAAAAGCTGACGCCAGAATAATTGACTTTTTATGCATATCAGGCAAAGAACCTCACCGTTGTGGGGTAACAATTTCTGGTGACCACAAAAGGGCAACGTCCTCTGACCACCCTCCTGAGTTTCCAGAGCCCCTGGCGGGGTGTGGGGTCTTTGCCTCGATCCTAAGTGGCCGCCCAGACAATTCTGTCTAGAGGCTCGTCTGATTTCCCCGTCCAGGCGCAGCGGTCCAGGCCCCAAGGCGCTTTTTTTCTTTTGAGAGAAGAAACAGCTTCTGGATCAAGATTTCTCTCGGCGAGTAACTTTGAGAGAGCAACTGGCCCTTACCTCATCTCTCTGGTTTGAGCCCCTGGAAATATAAGTTTGCCCTGGATTCTGAGGAATTCTGGTGGGCTGAGTCCCGGACCGTGGGCCTGAACCACCTGAGACAAGCCAAGACAGGACAGAAAGTTCACTTGGGAAGTTACTCCTGGTTCTGAGGTCCTCCCGGCAGTCTGGCTAGCATTCTGATCTATGTTATATGTAGAACTGTGTGTTAATGTCTGTCTAAATTGAATTGGCTGTTTTGGGACTTTCTCGGTGCCCGTAACCAACTCCCTTTAGAAATTAACCTTACGAAGATCTTCTGACTCCGAAGAAAAGAGGCACTGTTCCCTCCCTTCCTTCAGGATATTCTCAGGTGACAGGATTTTACGGAGGCGTGAGGGCATCTGCCCACGATGTGCCAGCCTCACAGGGACCCCTTTTGGAGAACATATCTTACTGGGCCCTACTGCTCATGGGGAAGCAGGCGGTGGCAGCTCGCCCGCGGCTCATTCAGCTCTGAACCCCGTGAGTGCCAGAACACATAAAGGAAAAAGGCAACCCCCTGGTTATTCTTGGGGGCGCTGTTCCCTCAAGCACACACTTTTAGACCCTACACACTATCCCCTAGAAAGACCTCGTTTGCTGTGGCCACCTTGGAGAAAGCCCCCTAAAATGAGGGTAACTATAAACAGCTGGCAGGATAACCCAGGACAATTTAAAATTACAGTAGCCACTCTGAGCTCCTTTTGAGCTTCCAAACCAAGAAACGTAGAGATCTTTAATCTTTAAAGAGTCAAGCACGCCACCTTTGGGCACAATGGCTCAAAACCAAAAGGTTCTAGAAGCTGCAAATATTCACAAAGAACAGCAAGATCTTACTAAGCTTGTTTCACATCGTGAGGGCTTGGCTTGATAATCGTCAGGTTGGAGGTCCCAAAATACGGCTGGACAAAAATGCAGTTATACCCCATTTTGCAGTCGGAGATGGTCAGACAGAAATGTGGGATGGACTCTATTTGTGCCTAAAGGTCTCACCAAACTGCCATCAGCCTCAGGAAATTACACTGGCCATCAGAAGGAATGCTTCAATCAGATAAGATCTTTTAAAAAGTGCACTTAAAAGCAAAGTCTTCAAAATACCAAAATAATCCTATTTAAAGTTTTATTGCAAAAGAAAAAATTAAGTTATAAAAGGTACCTGAAAGGGATTTACAGACACCCCATAATCTACCTCCAAAGGAGGGCCCAGTGAGCACTGGGCACAGAACCTCATCTTTGTGTGCTAACAATCTCAGACGGAGCCCTGGTACAGCTTCCCCTTCTTGTTTCCAGCACAGCTGAGAAAAGTCAATCTGCCAAACCCAGTCACTGAATGAGCCCACTGCAGCACTGTTACCCCAAGAAAGGCGCAACTTGGTCCTGCCTTATCCCTCCTCATCTTCCAAGAGCGATGCCCGGTACTGCAGTAGCGGGGAATTCTGGTGCTTGCCTAGTACTTTTAGTCCACTGGGGTAAAATCTTTCATCTTCTTATTAACATAAACAGAAAAAGCATGAAGTATCTGTAAGATAGCAGAAAGTGCTAAGCAGTGCACCCATTAGTCATTTAAGAAACTCTTGAAATCACCAACAGGTAGCTGTCCCAGACCCTAGCGGTATGCCTGTTCAGTTTAGAATCTGGCTAGTTGTAAAAGCACCTGCTATGGTGAGCCTCCAGACAGAACTGTCTGGGCGGCCACTTAGGGTCGAGGCAAAGACCCCACACCCCGCCAGGGGCTCTAGAAACTCAGGAGGGCGGTCAGAGGACCTCACCTTTCTGTGGTCACCAGAAATTGTTACCACACAACAGTGACGTATAAAGAGAGATGACAGAGATCTCGGACGCTGAGAAGCTAGAGTTCAGTGTAACAAAGGCAGCCAGCCAAGAGTGGACTCCACTGCAGGTGAGCTAAAGGGGAGAGCCCAGGAAGGTGCAGACAGCCCCCAGGAGGCTGATCTCGTTCAGCCTGAGTAATGGGTTGGTTCTTAATGATGCCTGACTAGGAAGAGCCAGGCAGATCCAGTGGAGAGAAGACAGGACTAACAGTCCTTTACTGCAAGAAGACACGAAACCCCATGTGATGTGTAGGAAAGCAGCCCTGGAACAGACAGAGAAACCACTCAGCCAGCTCAGCTCAGGGAGATGGAACCAGGGGAAGGGTCGGGGCCAAGCGCTTTGGCAGTGTGTGCCACCATAAAATACTGGAGCATCAGGTGACTGGGTGCCTCTGAAAGGGTGGGAATAAGGAATGACAGTCAGAGATCGACATGTTAGACCCTCACAAGGGGTCCAGAATAAGCCACTGTTGCATAACTATTCTGAGCTGAAGACATTTGAATTCCTGAAATCCCTTATCTGCCTAACAGCAGAGCCTCGCAAAACAACTCAATTTCATGAACCGCCTCTTCCTAAAAGCAACTCTAATCTTCTCTTCTCTGAAAACACCCAAAGACATTGTCACTGTCATCTCTCATCTCTTCTGTAAGGTTCATTTATCTTTCAGAGTCCTGTTCCCTAAGTGCCCTTTCTGCCCTCCCTTCTAAGAAGTCATTTGTTCTCCTAGAAGTGCCCCTCTGCCCCCGCATCCCCAGTAAGATGATTTACAAACCCCAAATTCTAACCACCTCCTGGAGTCACACTTTTCTGTGAACTCCCTCCAAAATCTGTTTTTTCTCTTGCTAATCTGTCTTTTGTCATTTTAATTTGCAGTCCTCCAAGAATTCAACCTAAGAGGATAGTTTTTCCTCCCCAACACATGATTTCAGCATGGCCGGATTTGAGGGCCACAGAGCATGAACAGAGACCCACAAAGAACAGAAAAGTGGGGCACATTCTGCATCCGGGAGATGAAATCCTAAGGCCAGTCCCAGGCCGATCAGGAAGGCTGCCAGGCGGTGACCCTGAGTCACCGGCCGAGCCCTGACCTGGGAGGGAGACAAGATGTGTGAGGTTCTCCTCTCTGGACCCTTCCAGGTCCAAGGACAACTTGCCATAAACAAGAACTGTAAAAGGGCCCACTCCCCCGTGCAAATTCTATTTGTGTCATATAATTTATGACGGTAAAGTTTCTCTTTTGACCTGCCAGTCAACACGATGACACTATTTTATGCTGCAACACTGTCAAATGTTGGCTCAACGTACACTTCAGTCCATTTGAACTCTGAAGGTTTGGTAAAAATCATTCTCCAAAATGTAATTTTATTCCCTCCCCCATGAAAACGGGAGTTCTAGGTGTTCCCGCACCCTTTCCCGCCCGGGTTTGGGCTGCGGAGAAGCACTGCCAGTGCTTGGCGGCGGGAGCTGAACCTGACCTGCTGCGCCCCCATCGCATCGTCTCCACCAGGTGGATCCTCGCCGGGAGATCGACAGACACATCGCTGTTCGCCACCCGTGGCCGGGGACGCCAGAGAAAGACCGGCTGTGGGCGGCCGGGAGGAAGTGCACCCTCCCGGCGCGCAACCTCGTGGCACGGCAACCCGCACAGCCTCCCAGCGCACCCTCCTCCCGGCACGTCCACCCCGAGGACCTTCCTGGCCTGGCTCCCCGCGCACCCCGCTCCCAACGCACCCTACTCATCCTCCCCGCTCGTACCCTCCTCCCAGCGCACTCTCCCCACGCTCACCCTCGTCTGAGCGCCCGCGTCCTCACCCTCCCGGACCCTGCGCACTCTCCTCCCGGGGCACCCCGCGCGCACCCTCCCCGCGCGCCCTCTTTGTGTACTCCCCTCCCCACGCACCTTCTCCGGGCCCCCTCCCCCGCCCCGCTCTCCGCACATCCTTTCAGCTGATAGTCCGGATCTATGCGAGCCTCGGTAAAAGGTTCCCGAAAGCCCAGCCCCGGCCGCGGAGCACTCACCGCGCTACACGCACCAGCTCAGCGCCGCCGGAGACGAAGACCTCGCCTAGGCGCCGAAGAAGGGGCGGCTCTCGTGCGCACCCGATCCGTTCAAGGAGATAAGTAGGAGCAAAGTGAATTTCTGATCAAAGTCTGTGCACGCCTCCCAGCGGGCGCGCCTCCGAGCGCCGCCCCGCCCCGCCGGTCCCTCCGCCGGCAGGCTCGGCTGGCCGCGCCCCCAGCCCTTCCCCCTGCCGGTCCCCCTCCCCCAAGGGGTCCTGGAGGGCGGCCCGCGCTCCTCCGCCGGCTATTGTTTCCTCCTCGGGCGGGCCGTGGTGACTGCTCAGCGACTTCTCTGTTAGTCATTAAGCCACCCGCAGCAAAGAGGAAATCTTACCAAGTGTTTTCCTCCTGGTCCGACAGCAGAGGAGACTTGGGAGAAAGAAAATCTGACCACCCAAGGTCACACCGCTGGTGCAGGAGCCCGGGTCTATCTGAGGGGGCCCCACCGCCAGCGGGCCGACAGAAAGTGCGAGAGAGAAACCACGTGAAACCAGCCCTGGCGGGCGGTCGAGAATCTGGGCTGGGCCATGTCAGCTGAGGTCTCCTGATCTCTCCGGCCTCGGTTTCTCTTTTGGGACCTTCCTGGTCCTGGGAGCTCCCCAGTAGCTTCTGGAAAGCCGGGAGACGCTGGCCCAGGGAGAGGAAATGACTCATCCATTCACAGTCACCAGCTGAGACCGCAGAACTGATTCCAGCGAAGACTACACGCTGCTAGAGAGCCACCTGTCGCTGCTGCCCAGCACGTACGCTGCACATGCAGCCTGCAGCGACGGGGCTCCGTGTCTGAGGATCTCGGGGGAAGTGGACAGCAGTGGCCGGTGACCTCTGGGAGATTAGCACCCTTTTTCTTTCGTTTCCAAGAGGCTGCATGTAAACCGGCAGATGAAATAGCGCAGACTTGGTCAAATTAAAACCTCGTAAATGTTACAGACTGGAAACGAAATTGTGTCCAGCCATTTCTAAATCTGTTACAGACAGAAAAGCTAAGGGACACACAGTCCTCACACCGCCAGGCCAGACCCCCCCTCCTTCAAAGAGGGGCGGTGGGCTCTGAGAGGTGGCACAGGGAATCAGTGGCTCCGTGAGGGCCTGACCACACCACATAATGACACCCACTGCTGTCCGCTCACCAGAACCTGGCTGTAGTTCCAAACTACTCGAATTCTGCCAAAGCTGGGATAGTTTAGAGAGATTAACTGAGGCTTCTGCACTGCCTTGGCCCCCGCGCTCGCTAGTTCCGGGTGCCAGCTGCCCTTCCCTTGCCATCCTAGCGGCTACCCAGCTTTCCTGAACCCCACTGAGAGAGAGGGTAGAAACCTCCAAGAAGAGTGTTTTTCACACAGCCAGCCAGCCCCATGAGGAGGTCATGAAACAACGTCGTGGTCACAGCCAGCTTTTGATTGTTAATGAGACAGAATGAAGGAGAAAAGCATCCTCTCCTCACCTGTGGGAGGGCAGGTACCTTTGTATCACACACACTGTTCTGGGACTACCCACCAGAACATTTCTAAAGTGGCCCCAGGCGCCTGATGTATGCAACCAGTGATGTGTTCCTGCCTTCTTGGTCTTCACCTGTTGGAGAAGTGCTGCTGGCAGGATGCAGTTGTCACCTAAGCAGGGGCCTTCCCAGCAGGAAAGCTCAGGGTCTCTGCGACCTGTCCAATCTGTGACACCAAATGCAGAAGTAAAGGAGGGCCCGCAGTGTCACCCCACCCCTTGCTGCCACCCGGCTCTGTCTGCACTCAGTTTCCCACATGCCCTTCTTCCTGTTGAAGCTGTACCTCCCAGTGTGATGGTGTTAGGAGGTGGGGCCTTTGGGAGGTGCTTAGGATTAGGTGAGGTTATGAAGGTGAGGTCCCCATGAATGGAGTTAGTGCCCTTAGAAGAGTCACAGGAGATCTTGGTTCCTCTCTCTCTCCACCATGTGAGGATACAAGAAAGCGGCAACCGGAACTCGACCATGCTGGCTCCCTGATCTAGGACTTACAACCTCCAGACCTGTAAGAAATGAATGTCTATTGCTCGCAAGTCACCCAGTCTGTTACTTCTGGTACAGCATCCCAACAGACTGAGACACTTGGTGTCCAGTCATCCTCAATTTCTAATCAAGTTCCTTATTACCCTCTCTCCCCCCTTATCGTATCACCCTTGCCTGCCCTCATCAAGAAACCTTCTAAGTTGGTTTAGCCAGAATCCCTCTACCTTTGATGTCTCCTCTCAGTATTTTTCCATCCTCTGACCTCATGCTGCTCCTTGGCTGTAATCCCTACTTTTCCTAGTTGTATTTGGAGTTGGGTTGACGAAATGACATCTTCATTATGCTGAACCTTCCAATCTATGAACGTAATGTCTCTCTCCACTCATGCAGGTTTCTTCTGATTTCTTGCATCAGCATTTTGTAATTTTCAGCACACAGATGCTGGTTGTGTTTTGTCACATGTATGCCTACGTATTCCATTATCTCTGGAGGAATTGTAACAGCATTGTGTTTTCAACATCAGTTTCCAGATGTTCATATGTGGAAATGTGATTGATTTCTATGTACTGGTCTTTTATCCTGCAACCTTGCTAGACTCATTTATTAGTTCTGTGAGGATTTTTTTGGAGATTCTTTGGGATTTCCCACATAGACAATCATGTCATTTACAAACAGAGACTGTTTTATTTCTTCCTTTCTGACCTGTATGCCTGTTATTCTGTTATCTTGCCTTATTGCAGTGGCCTTCCAGTACTGTGTTGAATAACAGTGAGGATGGTGGGCATCCTTGCCTTGTTCCTGATCGTAGGAGGAATGCAACATTCAATGTTTCACAACTACCTATGATGTTAGCTATAGGGTCCTTCAATCTTTCATGACTACCTCTGATATTAACCATAGGGTTTTTTTGTAGATGCTCTTTATCAGGTTGAGGCAGTCCCCCACTATTTCTACTTTGCTGAGAGTTTTTATCGTGAATGAGTGCTAAATTTTGCCAAATTCTCTGTGTCAATTTGTAGAATCATATAGTTTTTCTTCTTTATCATGTTTATATGGTGGATTGCATTCATTGATTTTTAAATGTTGAATCAGCCTTTCATACCTGTGATAAATCCCACCTGGTAATAGTGTGTAATTCTCTTTATACATTGGATTCTGTTTGCTAATATTTTATTGAAGATTTGTGTCTAAATTCATGAGAGATTGATCCATTTTTTTCTTTTTCTATACTGTCTTTGTCTCATTCTGATATTGATAATACTGGCCTCATAAAATGAGTTGGAAAGTGTTCTCTCCTCTTTTGTTTTCTGGAAAAGATTGTATAAAATTACTGTCAATTCTTTAAACATTTGATAGACTTCTCCAGTGAAACCATTTGGGCCTGGGGATTTCTTCTTTTAGGAGCTTTTGAGTTATTACTTCAATTTCTTTAACAGTTATAGAACTATTCAAGCTGTCCATTTCATCTTGGTTGAGGTTTGGTAGTTTGTAGTTTTTGAAGAATTGATTTATTTCTTATCAACTGGTAAAATTATAAGGGTAAAATTGTTCCTAGTGTTTTTTTATTATCTTTCTGATGGCTGCAATATCTGTTGTGATGTTCCCTGTTTCATTTCTGATATTAGTGATTTATATTGTCTTGCTTTTTATTCTTATAAGTCTTGCTAGGAGTTTGTGGATTTCTTTATTTTTTTTTGAAGAACGAGCTTTTTGTTTCATTCATTTCCTCTACTGTTTTCCTATTTTCAATTTTATCGATTTCTGCTCTCATGTTTATTTCCTTCATTGTGCTTGTTCTGGGCTTATTTTGCTATTCTTGTCTAGTTCTTAAGGTAGGAATGTGAATTATAGATTTGAGACCTTTCCTTGTTTCTGATGTGAGCATTTAATGCCATAATTTCCCTCTCAGTGCGGCTTTAGCTGTCTACTACATATTTTGATGTATTGTGTTTTCATACTTGGGTTGAATTTGAAATGAGTTTCTTACAAACAGCATGTAGTTGAATTGTGGCATTTTTGTGTTTTGTCTTTTTTCCCACTCTGCCAGTCTCTGCCTTTTGATCGGTACATTTAGATCATTTGTGTTTAAGGTAATTATTGGTGTATTAGTGATTAATCGACCATTTTATTTGTGTTTGTGTTCTGTTTGCTTCATCTATTTCTTGTTCCTCTGTTTCTCTGTTCTTTCCTTACTGTGGATTACATGATTCCTCTCTTGCCAGTGCCGTCTAACCACCTGGAAATCTCTCCATGGCAGAGGAAGTCTTAGGCCTGGTAAGAAAGAAGACTGTGTCCTCTAGCCGCTTGTGGTTAGTGGGGCTCTCCATCGACCCCCCATGCTCAGCTCACCTGATGTTTTTGATGGGGCTCCCAGTCAGTCCAGGTGAGGAAGGAGCCTCCCTGGGCTGCCTTCTGTTGCTATTTGGGGATTGGGAAATGCAGGGTCCTGGTTGCCTTGTTCTGTTGGAGGGGGAACTGAGATGTTCTACCCTCATGCTGGTCCTCCATTTCTGGAGTCCCAAACCAGCTCACCATCTTCTTACCACTTTCCAGAGATTTGATTTGGCCGCCTCTTGAGTTATTTCTAGGATTTATGTTGTACTTAGAAGGAAGGAGCTGGGAAAAAGTAAGCTATGCTGTCTTGTCTGGATGAGTGTCTCCCATTTTGATACTGGCAAGAACTAATCATGAAGGAACTTGTTATTTACATTATTTATGTAAGTATCTGTATCTCAGACCACAATACAAACTCCACTAGGCTGGGACTTTGTTTTACTTGCTGCTGTGTCTCCAGTGCCTCAGACAATGACTGTTAAATACATCTATTTTCTTATATCTGTGTTGAGATAAGTCAGTCTATAGGCACCTGACAGAAGTTCAATTGAATCATCATAGCACTCCTGTCTCATTACATAACACCAAACAATCAATGAATAAATTTGGATAAAGCATCTACCGTGACATGAGCCACCGTAGGTGTTCAGGAAAGGTTATAGTTTTTATCCCTTCTTTTCCCAGGCACTTTGGCCTTCAGGCATCAACTGTTTTACAAAACAGTGTGCCTCACCTTGGGCAAAGGTAGGCTGCCAGTGGCTCCAGCATATTCCAGGAATTGCACAGCCTCTCATCACTAGGTATTTTCAGGTTTTGCTTGTTTAGCTTTTTAAATTTTAGCCATTCTTCTGTGTGTGCTGCTATAGCTCATTGTGGTTTAAATTTAAATTTCCCTGAGTGGCTAATGATGTTGAGCATTTTTTCATGTTTATTGATCACTGAATATCCTTGAGAAGTGCTTGCATAAGACTGTTGCCTATTTTTCTATTTGATTATCTATCTTTTTTGTTTTGTAGGAGTTTTTTATATATTGGGGATGAGAGGTTGACAAAAATTAAAAAGTATGACAAAAGCTTGCTTTGGCTAGGATGAGGAGCAACTCTGTTATATTGTTTGTATGATTGTCAAATGGCTCAACCACTTTGGAAAATGGACATTATCCAGTAAAACTGACAATATCCGTAGCTCATGAACCAGCAATTTGAATCCTATGATTTCAGAATTTTTTGGAAGCTTTCAAGAAGTTTTTAAGATATTTCAGAAGCTTTATTTACTATAGCCAATAGCT